AAGCGGCCGGCCGCGTGGATGCAGGGGGTTGTGGTGCAAGCTCGTTCCCCTCAGCCTTTCAGCGCAGAGCTGAGAATAAACAGCTGCGCAGGGGATGGATGCCACATTGTCTCAGGGGGCCGGTGCCAGGTGGAAGGCGTGTCTCCAGCCTGCAATGGTGGAAAAAGGGAGAATCTGCCTCCGTTGTCCACGAGATGTATCTCTGTGCAGATATTTTTTCACATACAGCTTCATCTAAGCCCAACACTGATTACAAGAGGCAGTCTGCACACTTAAATCGTTCGGACTAATCTCCTAACAGCAGATTAACTCAGTAAGATCCCATTATACGCATAGCTAAGTATAATCACTTTGCATTTTACACATACACTTTTTCAGGTTTTGCTTTTTAAAAAAAAAAAAGAAAAAGAAAACTTACAGGATAATGAAGTTGAAGCTCGCTATGGTAAGCTTCAGAAAGACCTGTTTATTTTGTATTTCATTTACAGTCCTGGACGGTTGTCCCTGATTTTACACATCATGCCCACTCTGCCTCATTGTCAGCGGTAGCAGTGAATAACAGATATGTGGTCACTGGGAGCAGAGATGAGACAATCCAAATCTATGACATGAAAAAGAAGATAGAACATGGGGCGCTGCTGCAGCACAACGGTAAGGGAGCTTTTCCTTGCAAAAAGCATTAATGGTAGAAACTTATAGCTGAAAAAGTGGCTTTTGCCAGAAGAAGAAAATTTAATTTTTTTTTAACAAGTCTTTAATAGTGATGGTGTTGCAGCCATGATGGTCTGATGATACAAGCAAGGTAAGCTTTTGAGCATAAAAATCCAAAATAATTTTGGGTATTAGCCCACAAATACAGCTGATGCTTCCAATTATTTTTAGTTTTAACTGTTTAAGAAGGTATGGCCCACAGACCTTCTTGTGGCTCGTGAGCCATTTTTGTTCTACCAGGACAGTTTATCTAGACCATGCCTACTCCCAACAACCATCTTTCCCAGTGCCCTTGTCCTGTCACAGACGTACATGAGCCACACAAAAGAGAGAGTTTGTGTGTGAGAGCAGGCTGCTGCTGCCAGAAGAGTTAACCTGGTACATTTCCCACTTTATGTGCCTCCTGAATTACAGCCATGAAATACATCAGTTAATGGCTGTCCAAATAAATGTGTTTGGGTCATTTGTAGCTCAATGCTGATTGTTCTTTTTCTCCTGATAACCAAGACATATGTGGAGCTAGACTGAATGTGGTACCTGCGTTCAACTCAAGTATGACAAATCTGGTGCTTATGGGAAGCAGCATGTGCGGTAAATTCAACTGTGTGTCCAGAGCAGGGCTTTGACATAGGAGAATTCCTTATCACTGGTAGAAGCTCTGTGTCACCTGAGCCACAGTGGTTGAGTACTGCTGTATCAGGGATCGGACCAGATGGAGTTCAGACATGTATGGCTGTAGGGGGTTGCTGATAGAGCACATCAGTGATTGAATATAACAAGAAAGTTTGGGGGGTTTGTGAAGAAACACTTAGGAAATAATTCAGATTTTCCCAAGGGTAGGGTAGTAGCTGGCACGTTTTGATGCTAGAAGCTTCTCTGTTAATTCATACGTTCTCTGTGTGGTAACTCTTCATTATGTACAACATTGTTAATAGTTCTGGTTTGTATTTCTAGGCACAATAACTTGTTTGGAGTTCTATGGTACTGCACATCTACTGAGTGGGGCTGAAGATGGACTAATTTGTATCTGGAACACAAAAAGATGGGAATGCTTGAAATCCATTAAGGCACATAAGTGAGTTTCTTAAATCTGCATATTGACGTACGTTTTCATGTTTCTTTTCCTTGTAAATAATATATGTGGCTAATACGTTGTTTTGTTTTTATCAGGGGGCACGTGACATCTCTTTCTATTCATCCTTCCGGGAAATTAGCTTTGTCAGTAGGAACAGATAAAACATTAAGGTGAGTTGAAACTGAAGAAGGAATGCTGAGAATCGTAAGTCAATAAGTCTTAGTGAATTGTTATAAACCACAGTTCCGTGTTGGGAATAGACTATGTAACACTAATAAAACATATTTGGACATTAAATGGTTCAAAGATTTGCCTTTTTAAGTTCTAGATACCAGCAATATTTTAAAGTCTTTTAAAAATAGTCCTTGCTGTTCTTAGCTTCTTGTTGTGTTCTGACTCTTTATAATCGCTTGTAGACGTATAAATACATTTACATTTTGAAACACAATTTATTTAAACTTCTGAAAGCTGTCAGGTTTTGTTTAATGTGAGAAAAGTAATTTTTCACTTGGAGCGTGTACATGTTGCTGTATATATGTGTTTTAAGTACATAAAATGCTATTTTAACAGCACAAATGGGTACTGGGCTCCTTTCGGGCTCTGCATTGCAAATGGTGGTTTATAAAATAAATATCACAAATTCAACCTTACAGTGTGCAAGCGATATATGAAGTCATCATTTTCTCTTGCATTAAGAAGGCAGTAAAATGCATAGAGATGCTTAAAAGCTTCCATTGGATGCCTTATGTCAGCAGATAGGACTTCAGTTTCACTGTGCTGTTTTTAACCAGAGTGCATGTTATCTATTGTTGTCTTTCAGAACTTGGAATCTTGTAGAAGGACGGTCAGCCTTTATCAAAAACCTGAAGCAAAGTGAGTTTATCAGTCTAAATCCACTAAAAAAGTAGAATTAGATAGTTTTATTTTTTGTGTAAAGAAAAGTAGACTGAATTAATGAACAAATCAGTTAATTGCAAGCAACTTTCACAACGTCTTTTTTACACATGCAGGCAAGCATATGTAAGCTTATGTCCTTAATAGTAATCATTTACCAAAAGGAAAACAGTGACACTAAAGTAAATTTTTTTTTCCTTGAAATTTGATGTCAGGACATTTAAATAAATGTGTTTTTCTTTGTACACTTCTGATAATCAGAAATAAACATTTAATAGCATAGTTTTACTTGTTTATTCTAGGTTATTTGAGTTTTTCGTAAATTTTTCTCAGGTTTAGGTAGAAAACAGTGTCTGACAGCTTCTACAGATTCTTACTTTTAGATTCTCATGCAATATAGAGTGCAAAAAACCTGTCTACATATGTATACAAACGTATCAATGTGTACAGATGCCCACATAATTAAATGGTCCCCTGATGGAGAGAGGTATGTGACCGTGATAATAAATAAAGTGGATATCTACAAACTTGACACAGCTTCAATCACTGGCACTATCACAACAGAGAAGAGAATTTCTTCACTTAGATTTATTACAGTAAGTACAAAAAAGAAAGGTGCTGGGAAATTAACTGGTTTGAAACACATGAAATTAATCACACTTGCATTTCTTTTTTCCCATTCCAAGGATTCTGTCCTTGCCATAGCTGGAGATGATGAAATTATAAGGTTCTACAGCTGTGACTCTCAAAAATGCCTGTGTGAATTTAAAGCTCATGAAAACAGGTATACTATATTTGTTTACTATTTAAATATTTATGGCAATGCTGAGTACCCAGTAAAGTTCAAGGACTTGTAATGTTCAGCATATTTTACTATTGGTTTTGTTTTAGTATAGAAAGTTAATTTATTTATGTGCTAAATTCCAAATTTGGGACAGACTTGTTTGCTTTTAATATGCGCATAAGTACTATGCTGGCCATTCAAGTTACAAAAACAATAGGGTATAGAATTAGAAATATTACAGTTCTAAATTTATGAGTGTGTGTGTAAAAATACACACGCACACATGTGCGCGCGCGCGCACACTCACACACTTCTCTGTGTGTGGTCTATGCATTTCTGAAATTGGGTACCAGTATTTTCCTGCAAGACTATCTAAAGAATGTTTAACCAGTCTTTACAGAATCTGAGTCTTTAGAATGCTTACATGAACCAAACCAGTTGTACTCAGCCCAGACAATAGGAGGGTAATCACATATTCTCCGTTGTTGTCGAATACCAAATATTTGTCCAAATGCTGCTTTTAATTCGTCAAAACACAGAAGCATTAGCTAAAATGTCACTGATGTGGTTAATAGTGTGTGCTTAAAAATATTAAAGTGTTCTGGATTGAATCCTAACAACTGTAGCAAAGGCAAGTGTTCCTACTGTAAATGACAGCACTCAAAACAGATTACCATTGCGAGTTCCTGCCTGTCATTTGTGGGTTTTCTGTTCAAACTGATTTTTAGACTATTCATCTTTAATTTCTGTTAGCGTACTGTTCTGAAGTGAACTGCCATGCTATAAGGTAACAAAGTATTACATTTTCTTCACAGAATAAAAGATATCTATAGTTTTGAAAGAGAAGGACAACATGTTATTGTTACTGCATCCAGTGACGGTTACATTAAAATGTGGAATCTGGATCTTAATAAGGTTGGTCTATTAAACTGCTTGTTACGTTTATGGAAAAATATCAGACAACCAAAATTGCAGGCAGTTCTGTTACAAAGATTAATTTTAAATCACTGAGGAAATTTTACTTGAAATCTGGATGTCTTGATCTTCCTCCATGTTATGTTCAGTAGAGATATATATGTCTATGCTTATATTTTTATGCACTTGTGTATCCTTGTATCTTTGTAATTTTTTTAAACAAACTATAAAATCTGATGATATTATGGAGATCTTATCTCCTCTTTATGTGAAGTCAAGCTTCCCTACAGACCTATCTGGTCAGACTCGTGACTATCTAATCAGTTATATATGTTTAAGGACTGCTGTGAATTTTTGTAATGGCTGTTGCTACTCTTTTAAAAACACAAACTCTCTGGTTTGGTGGGGCGGGTGGTTGTTCATGTAGGGGGAAAAAGTCCTTTCGAAAAATTCAAACACATTAATGTACTGGGCACTTTTATTTCCTGTATTTTCAAACAGTGCCGAGTAGCACAGTTCAACAAGGAATCATGTCTTATGTTTAAAATTTCCCATGTTTCTTGTTTGCTCTGGGGTTTGTCTTTTAAAATCAGAATTAGGTTTTTTAAATTTAATGCCTAGTAATAAAGGATCTACTCTCTTCCACTATAAGTATCTTGAATAGTTCAAATAATTATCTCTCAACATTTATACACTTTATATATCTCATCTGAATTTGCCCGTTTTTAATTTCACCCCCTCTGATTATTTTTATAGTTCTAAGTGGAGTAGTGAATATCATTCTTTTCCCTTCACCTCAAATTTCTGTTCCCCTTGTACATAATTGATACAGTGAGCAGGGAACTCTCTATCTTTTCTGTAACATTGTCTTTATTTTGACCAAATGTGTGATTTTGTTTCCTGTGCAGACAAAATTTTGTAAAACTGTGTATAACTCTGTGGGCTGCTCTGTCCAGCTCTGTGAGGTAGAATATCCTAATACAAGTAGTTTCTGATGGATTGATGCTGTTATGCTGCACATGTGTTTGTGACACTTTATCTCCTGATATCTGTAATGGGATATGTGCTCAAGTATTCCCAGAGCGGACTGATACAATTGCAGTTAAGCATTTTGAAACACACTCTGAAGAGATTACTTCTAATCAGCAGCCTTGTCTTTGTGAGGGAGAAAAGGAATCTGATGCACTAACTTAATTCAAATTATTTTAGCTGCACTATTACCCTGGAGAAACTTCTGAAACCATTGATTTTTTTTTTATGATTCATCTAGTTATTCCTCGTATTAAACTTACGCCCATGTGCCTGAAACCCACTGGTCTTGCTTATCAAGACACATTCTTAAAGCCATTGGGATTTTTTGTAAAACCACCACTGAGGAATGGTATCAGGAACAGGACTGTAACAATGTGACCATTAACTGGTATACAGCCTCTAGTTCTAAACATTTTTAGACACCAGAAATTAAGTGGAAGGTGGGCAGTAAGATACTTTCTCATTTCAAATACTTCAGTAAATTTAAACAGATATAACGTAATGTTTAATTAATCTTTTTCTATATTATCTTCAGATTAAAGATGTGCCATCTTTACTGTGTGAAGTCAATACCAAAGCTAGGCTGACATGTCTTGCAGTATGGCTTGACCGAGCTTCAGAAATGAAAGAAAATTCTGATAAAGCTGCAACATCATCTCAAGGTAATAGAACTGTGTGTATTTTTGGTTGTTAATTTGACTGTGAAATAGAATATACTAAGTGGGAGGTTTTTACTATATGCATTGGAAAAAGTTTTGGTATCTTGAAGAATTGGGGATATGACGCTGGCAAGGGATATAGATATCCTTACGAATCTGATATGTCTCAAGCCTGCATGTATGTTGAAGGACATAAGCCTCTTTTCACTTCTATTTTGTGAAAGTTTTGTTTCTCTTTACTGGAATAACGTACTGAGGAAGCCGCTGTGAAGCTTTTGACACAGATAAGAAAAGAATAAACAGTTTGATAGAACTGCATGTCTTATTTTGCTATGAACAGCAATTAGGTCTGAGGCCAATGTAGTTGGGCAAACTTAGGAAGTCTGGCTTTTTTTTTTTTCCCCCCCTGTTGTTTTCCTGTATCGTAATGTATGTACATACTTGATCTTTAGATATTTTTGTATCACAGGCAAAACTAGCATAAATGGCACATTCCACTGTAAATAAAAAATCATTTATAACCCCTTTTTAAAAATGAGATACAAATAAATCTCTGTGCCATTTTAGACTACAAAGACTGTACATAAATATCAGTGTGAATTTTTTCTTGCTTTTTTCAGCGATTGAAGATGAAAAATCATCAATAGTCAGGAAACAAAAAGTTTGTTGGACGGATGAAAGTGATAAAACAGCAGAACAAAAGAGAAAAATTACTCCAGAGAAGCAAAAATTGAAAGCTCCACTGCAAAAGAAAAAAAAGAAACGGAATAGCTCAGCATAAAGGCAGCTACTTTCTCTCCTGAACAAAAAGTAAATAATGGTGTTGCTGTAGTTTTTATAAGGATGTAAACCTCTGACAGGACATATACCTCTGAACTGAAATGTTGTTTAAAAGTAATGAATGTTTTTACCCTAATAAATTGACTGATCATTCTGGGAAGTAGCAAAAGAGGTGGCAACTTTTCCTAAGTGAATGAGGCAAAAATAAATTCATAGTACGTAATGTTTCTATTTTTCTATTAACAATAGCATACACTTTTTAACTGGCTCTGAAAAAGTGATAAAAATAGCTGCATCTATCTCAGTTACATTTTTGTCTCACCTAAATGCTTATTAAAAATACATACACTTTTTCATTTTAGTGTTGGAAAAGTTACTGTTCATTTGACTCAAAATATGATCTGCCTTTGTCATGCATTATTTTTCCTACTGTAAGAAGGAACATGTTAAAATTACTTAAAATATGCTGATCACATTCCATTCATACATTCACAGAAAATTGTACTTTCTAGTTGTTGACATGGACTTATACATAGAGTTTATAAGCAAAATGTTTGGGTTTTTTTACCACGTCCATACTTCATGCATTTAATTTTTTTTAAAGTGTTTGCACCCATGGTTCACATGATTGAAATCTTTTGTTCAGAATATGATACATATTTTTAGGTGGAAGAGTTTATATCAATAAGGTTTTACCTTCTCTTCACCCTTCCCATAGTATTTTTTCAAATCCTTGATCTGAGCTGTATTGTTAAAAAAAAAATTATCTAACATTTGAAATGTTTGTAATGCTGATAAAACGTCACCCATCTGTTTTGCACTTAAACAGAAAGTGAATTCCTGACCTCAGCCAGTGGGAACAGGATTTTATCTGAAGTCTTATTACAAATATACAATGGGAAAAACAAAGTTGAACTGGAGAGAACAAGGTCAAATAGCTGTACTAAATGTTCTCTTTATTTCTTTTGAAGTAAGGCATTTTAATGTTTTCTGCACTACCGGAGTACTCATTATTTCTTCTGTTTTCAAAGAGTAATTGGAATTATGCTTTATTCTGATTCACTTTAGTAATAATCTGTTCCTCCTTATTTGTGTAGCAAGAGAAAAGGTAGGGAAAATCAGAAAAAAGATTGAGCAAAATTCTGGAGACAGGAATGCAGGCTGTCTTAAGGATGTAAAATAGGATATAACTCCAGCTCATCTCTGTGTATGCTCTGACTCTGAGCATCATCGGTGATGTTACGAGATTGTTCATGTGGCGATGGCAGTATTCTCTTGGAGGTGGGTGTCTGTATTTATCTTCTGTAATCATTTCCTTTATTTAGATAAATGATCACAACCTCTTGTCTGAATATTCAGTATAGTTGATTTGTATGAGCTCAGTTTAATTCAACATTAAAAGGATTTCCATTGTACTTTAGTTTGAACTTACACAGCTTTTAACTTTAATAATACCCTGAATGTGTGTGTACACAAACACAGGCAAATAATATAGGACTTAAAATGGTTTGTAGATTTGGCAGGAAAAGTACCAAATCAGATTTTTAATTGATAACAAGGCTCCTGTAGTAAATATAGGACTTACAAAGTATAAGCTTAAATAAGAAAACTCTGTTTTCACTTGTAAAGTGTTATGTCTATTTTGTAGTGCTTAGCTTATGTCTGTTCTTGACAAAATGGCTGCTACTACTAAACAGTTGTTGTTGTTTGAATTTTTAAATACATGAGCTCATGCCAAGCTCTCATGAGCACAGGAAAAATCCAGTCTGCACATAATCTTAAGAATTAAAAAGCAAAAATTCCACAGAATTTTGGTTCTAAGGTTTAGACTTACAAGTAAATATTGGACATTTGCAAAAATCCAAACCCCCTGTGTAGTAACAAAGAATTATGCATCTCATGAGACTCCGAACAATTTGTGAACTGAAGACAGAGGAGACAAGTCCTAATAGCTTTTAAGGTGAAATACAGAAACAGTCCTGAGAGGAGAACTCGATATTTTCTACACCTTGAGTGAATGCTCAGCTACTAACCAGTACTTGGCAAATTTTTTGTTGTTGTTTTCTTGTGCATATCTTCCTTTTCAGAACATTTCCCATTCTAGTTTTCAGGGAACTGCTTAGAATGATAGAGGGGAGGCAGCAGTGCAGAGAGGAGATGTCAGCGGTGAGAAAGCTGTTGCTCTGTCAGACTCCAGTAGGGTAGATGGAGCCATGGCTGCAAGAAACAACAGCCCCGCAAGCAGCATCTCAGCTGAGCCCCAGGTGAGTTCAGCAGTGCCAGCAGCTGTGGATTTCTTCCAGTTTTCCTGCTTCCCTCTTGGGGGACCTCAGTGCTGGATTACAAAGCAGAGCCCAGTGAAACTTGAACCTCATAGCCATTGCACAGCTCGAACAGGAAAGGGAACCCCATCCAGTATAGCTTAGATCTATGTTGGCTGGGGCACTTCTCAGGGAGATAGGAGATCTCTATTTAACCCACTTAGGCCAACAAGGGAATTAAGCTGCTCTCCGCTTTCTGACCATTAGGCTCATTCATAAAGATGGGAAGATTTGAAATGCAGCTAGAGAAAGCTGCATTTTGCAGAAAGCACAGGCCTCTGATGTTGTGTGCCTTCTGTTATGAAAAGGAACTGAAGCCCCTCAGTTCAGGGACCTGGCTGGAGGAGTGCTCTTTCTTTCTATATGGTTAAATGTCCATGGGAGGTAAGTGCATAGGCAACTGGAATAAATCACGCAGCGCCATTTATGTGAAGAAAGCCAGTTTCAGCACTTGAAAAAAGAAAGTTTATCTTTGTAGGCAGTTACAAACATCTCCCTACACTTTTTCCAGATTAAAAAAAAAGCAAAACATTTTCTTTACGTGATGTTTTCCATCTCCCACTGTTGCATAACTTCTACAGCAGAAGACTCATTTTTCTGTTGCTCTAGCTGTGCTTGTGATTTGAAGATTATAGAAATTCTCTGGATCTTCCATTAAAGGGCTATACTGAAATTATTGATCAAAGCTGCCTGTAGGCTGCCCAGAGTTGTAACTCATGCCATACCAAAAACCAACCCCAAATTCTCAGCTGTACTCCCATTTCTGGTACAGGACTAGGATGGATTGGGTGCACACGAATGCAGTTATGAGGGAGCTTTGCCCCTCACTGAACAAGCACACAAACCCTCGTCTGCACTGAAGTCTCTCCTCATCTGTAGGCACCCGGACTTGCTCGGGCATCCTCGATACCCCCCGCTGGGGCCGGGGGAGTTACCCGCAGCTCTGCAGGTAGATGGGAGGCACCAACGTTTTCTCCTCCGCAGCTCCGGGCTGCGGGACACACCGTACCCTGGCTGTTGGGTTTTTTTTGTGTGAGGTTCCCCGCCTCCCCTCTTCCCTCAGGACAGCCGGAAAAGGGAAGCTTTGGGCGGTGCGTTGCTCCCTCGCCTCCCCTTCCGCAGCCTGCTCCGCCCCGGGCCGCTGTGGAGCGGGGCCGCCGGGCAGGAGCCGCCCGCGTACACTTCGCGGCGGGGCTGACCCCCAAGTCCGCCCCGCTGCCCCCAGGGCTGCATTCCCAACAAATCGGTTTTCATCTCTTGGACTCGGTTTAGGGCTTAGGCTTTAGGCAGGCCTTGCTCGTGGAAAAGCCCCCCCGCGGCAAAATGCTGTTTTTGCCCTAAAAAATTAAGAGATACCGACCCTCACCCCAATTTCTCTTCTAGTTTTCAGCATGGCAGTGGACTGGCTCGGCTTTG